CACACACACACACACACGCAGCCGCACGCACGATGATGTTGTTCATGTCGTCCTCCTTGATCTTTGCGGTCAGGTAGATGTTGATCTCGATCCGGTTCTGCGTGTCCTGCTCCTCGATCGCCTGCAGCAGCGAGTGGAACCACTCCGCGCTCCCAAAGTCGCGGATGACCCACGTAAAGTACACCTGCACGCGCGGCACCGTCAGCGCCGCCCATTAGCGCCGAACGGCGGGCGAACCCCGCGCAGCGCCCACGCACCTTCGACAGACGCGTCGGCTTCGAGTCGTTCAGGTTGTTCATCCGGTACCAGATCGACTTGAGGATCCTGTCCACACCATCGGCCGTCAGCCCGCGTGAGTGTGAGAGAGACAGCGACGGCAACACGTACGACGCAAAGGGGGTCACACCGATACCGGCCCCGACGAGGAGCACCGTCTCGTAGTTCAAAAAGTCCTCGCTCGCACTGCCGAACGGGCCGTCGACCATGACGCGCGGCAGGACGCGGTTCAGCGGCGGGTTCGCGTCCGTACCAATCAGCTTCCCGCCCGCCTCGGCGCCCTTCTCGCCCTTTGCCTTGGCGTCAAAGTCGCACCCGACCGCCGCGGCGAGCGCGCGCGTAAAGTCGCCGACGACGCGGATGTGGACCGAGATGTAGTCCTCCTCGGGGGCACTGTCCATCGGTCAGATGAGCACAAACCGGCAGCACGCCGCGACGCACCTGGTGAGCGTGAAGGGGTGCCACTGGAAGTAGGAGATCTCGGGGCAGGACAGGAAGATGTACTGTCCGGCGCGCGTCGTCGTCTTCTCCTTCTTGATCTGCAGCTCGAGCACGTTCGACGGGTGCTGAATGACCTTGGAGATGTACGTGCGGTGGCGGGAGCGCACCTCGCGCAGGATCCGCTCGAACAGGAAGATCACACCGCCCGTGAGCCAGAAGCGCTGCGCGGGGGCGAAAGGAACGGCGCTCAGCGATCATCGCCGGCGGGCAGTGCAGACAGGACAGGACAGGACGCGCGGACTCACCCAGAACAGGCCGATGGTGTTCCACGAGCAGAGCGGCTCGCGGTTGGGCTGGATCATGCAGAACATGCCGTGGAGCTGCCAGTTGAGGAAGAAGATGACGAAGAGGTGGTGGGTGTACCAGAACTTTTCAAAGTTGGCACGGCGGCGCTTCTCGGCGGCGTACCACACCATGATCGCGAGCGCGGCGGTCATGATCCAGCCGGTGACGCCGGGGCCGGTGGTGAAGTTGGCCTCGAGCCAGACGACGAAGCGCTTGCCGGGTGTATTCGCGTCGGGGTCGGCGAACGCGAGGCGGGCAAAGTTGACCATGTGCGCGGCGATATGGACAAAGGTGAAGAAGCAGATGCCCCAACCGACGGCCTTGTGGAAGGTGATGTTCTTGTCAAAGGGGATGTAGTAGTTGAGCGGGGTGCGGCGGAGGAGCGAGATGAAGTTACGGCAGATGGGGAGCAGGATGAACGCGACCTCAAAGTGCAGCACGAGCGCGGCGCTACGCGCGATGGCTAGGAGGGGGGGTGCGTCGTCGGTCAGTGGGGCGCAGTGGACGAGCGCAGACAGGGCTTACGGTAGGTGATGCCGAATGTGGCGCGGGCATCGGAGAGGTCGTCGCTAGTGTCGTAGTACAGGAAACCAAAGATGATGACGAGGACGTGGACGAGGAGGAAGAAGAAGAAAAAGAGCCTCTTGCCTCCCTCGTTGACCATCCAGATGTTCCAGCGTTCGGACCAGGAGTCGGGCTTGTTCGGGGTGGCGGAGAGGGTGCCCATAGTGTTTGTGCGCTGGAGAGGCTGGAGCCTGCGGCGCTCGGACTTGTTGCGCTGGAGATGGGTGGGCTGCGCCCCATTGTCGGCGAAGGGGTTGTCGACGTCGGGGTGCTCGCTGAGGGGAGGCATCTTGCCGTCGGAAAAGTCAAGGCTGGAGGAACGCTTCCAGTTTGAGGCCATGACGGATTAGGTGGTGGGCGATGGTAAGCGGGTATCGAGCGTCGTTGTGGTCGCGCACAGCGGACAGAAAGCAGAAAGAGAGGGCCTGCCTGGAAAATGACAGTAATATGAAAGGAGGAGGAGGAGAAGGAAGGGGTAAGATATGGATGGGCGTAGGCGAGCGGCAGTGCCTCCGTCTTTTGACAATGGCAGACGGCCGCCTGTGCCGCTGTTGCCATGGCAGGGGCATCCCTATTCTGGGCCACGCCAGACCCGGTCGTCGCACACTCATCGTCCAGGAGACTCTCCGCCGCACAGGCCATGGCATCGTAGTCGATACTTGTCGTGCATGAGCCCTTGTCGCAGAGCACACAGCGTACCTCGCCAGGCTGAAGCAGTGATCGGACGTGTTTCAGAGAGAGAGAGAGGGAGACTAGATAGTATACTAATACAAGTACATTACTATTGATGACGCATCAAGCCAAGATTAGACAGCCACATCTTTGATATCAGTTCTCAGCCACAAGGCCATCAGTATTACACGCTATTTTCAGTGGTCAGCGATGCCGTCAGCCATCGTCCGTCGTCTCGCCAGTGACGCCAACGCACCAGGCAGCCCTTCCTGGCTCACAACATTGTAGCAATTCGTCTGTGCCGATTGGCCACTTGGCACCGTTACATTTATATCTGCAAACGACAGCCCCCCGCACGGTGCCGCAGGGCTGCATTCAATGTCCACCACTATCATATCATCGTCGTCGTCAGCCCCCGTCTGCCAAACAAGTTCACGCGGACGCACCCAGATCCGTCGACGCCGTCCCCGTAAAGTTTACAAATGACAGGTTGCCAAATCGGTACTGCGACGGTGCGTCTCCGCTGCATGCTTCCTGTGTCAGCCACCACCACTAGCCTGGGCTGTGTGCCGCCAAGCAACACTCACGGATGCCCAGAGTTCGTCTGGTACAGTTGGATGGGGTATGTCACATCGTCAAGCCTGAAGTTGCGCGCGGTGACATTCGTGGTCGTGCCTGCGCGCGCATCTCAGCTTTTTTGCAACATATGTCGCCACCTATAGATACCGAGCGACTCACCGGGCCCTCCCCCACCAGCATCAGGCGGGAAGCCGATAACCGTGCCGGTCCACGACTTGAAGTACACCTACGCGACGGGCTAAGCCACGGCTGGACGCAGCAGAGGGACGCTTACACCATGCTCCATGTATGGCTGAATGGCGGGGTCAGGACGGACCATCTGCGCCACAGCCGTCCAGTTAGCCAGCGCCCGTTCAGAGGGGGGGGGATAGACCGACAGTGACGTCCTCCAGCGTGATGTTCTCGACATTGTCGTACTGCCAATTCATGTCAGTTCACCGCCAGCGCAAGGGAGCGAGCAGCGGCGCACGAGCTGGTGGTACTGGCCCAGCGAGCCGAATGCAATTCCTGTCCCCCCGTGGCAAGTGATGTTCTTTGCATACACGTTCGTCGAGTTCTAGCTCTCCTCGTTAGCACACTAGCGCCGTCGCGCGTGCAAACATTCACGTACCCCTTTGACCGCAATACAGTCGTCGCCTAGGGTGATCTGCAAGTCCAACGTCAGCATCCCGGATCTCGGCTCTGTTGCGCGTACAGCCCACTCACGTCCCAGTTCAGCAGCGACACATTATCCGACCGGTACGTGTCGATCCCTGGGTTCAGCGTCAGCATTGGCCCCGCCACTCTTGGCGCCGTGCGCACCATCTGTATTCCACACGATGCTGCCAGCTCGCATGTCAGCCCGTCACCGGTCACCGCCGGCAGATGCACCATCACACTTACTTCTGATTGAAGTACAGCGGGTCCGCATTCGTCGCGTTGCAGTACATCCCGTCGTATACAATGTCCTTCGACTCCACGACCGCGTTGCTCCAGAACGGCTGGCTCTCGATCCGGAAATTCGCAATCGTCGCCCGCAGCGCCCGCCACACCGTCAGCGACACCGGCCGCCCGTCCCCGTCCAGCCGCGTCCCGTTCCCGTACCACGACCACCAGTATTGCCCGTTCCCCATGATCCCCCCCGTGTTGTGCGCGTCCACCACAAAGTCGCGCCCCGTCAGCACGAACCACGACGCTTGGCTCTGCCCGGGTGCGGTCAACTCTCCGTGCGCGGGCTCGCGAGCGGGCACGCACCTGGATGTAGATCACGCGGTACGTGTTCTCGGGCTTCATCCAGTACGGGAGGTCCGCCGTGAACTGCAGCCCACATGTCACCAGCGCACGCGGCGGGTCTGCCAGGACCGCTTACGTTCAGGTAGCCCTGCAGCTCCACCCTCGACTCGACCAGGTCCCACATCATTTTCCTGTCCCGCGCTGAGCGCCGTCCATCGCACCCGCACCCCATCGCCTGCTCACCTAGTGACGTTGTACACCCCCGGCGCAAAGACGGTCGTCCCGTAGTGTCCGCATTGCGCAATGGCTGCTTCAATCTGCGCTCGTACCCGTCAGCGCGCATCCGTCGACGCAATCGCCCACGCGCCCACGCACCTGGTCCGTGTCGTCCCGCCCCGCGCCCAGCGGCTGCAGCGCACACGTATTGTTCGTGTAGTTCGAGCTCTGCCCCGCCGCCGCGCGCGCCGCACACAGCACGGAGCCCACAAGCGGCAGCAGCCGCAGCGCCAGTCAC